AAACTGCTATGTAAATAAAAGCAATAAGTAAACAGGCTCTACATGAAATGTACTGTGAAATGTTTCTTTGCGCTATAAAAGTTTAACAACAATGTTGAAAATGCAGACTAAATTACAGTGACGTGCCAGTGCTGTATGATTTGCCTGGCGACCGGCCTTTGAACTGGTGTGTTACGTGTTAACTGTGTGGTTCCAGACAGGCCGAGATTATACTGTTAACGAAACAATGACTTTCAGTTTCTGTCTCAGTCAATCCTCCATGGAGCATGATTCAACAACACATTCTTTCAGTGATTTACAAGAAAATGTATGGTACTTCACGGTATTGTAAGCACAGTACTCGTGCATTTATCACAATTTTGTCAGTTTAGCAGCTTCCTGTTTTCTTTACGTTACCTAATGTTTAACTTGAGACATGTGAGCTTATATTTTAAAAAACATGTTAGGACAGCTTAGGCTATATTTCTCATAAGTTGAGGTTCCTCCTCATGTCCCTATCTAATCAGATTTTTTATTTTCATTTTAAAAAAGAAAGCTCATTTGAAAAGAGGTATTGTCACTTTTGTCATACACTTATGCACATACATGCAATGTGCAACCATACTGCATGAACCAGAGAGTTATGAGCACAGAGACAATTAGCAACAAGGAGGGATATTGTCTTTCTAGAATGAGCAACATAATGTCTGATGGAGTGAAAGATAAACAGATTATTCAAACTTTATAACTTTGTAATGCATGCAATATCAAATGTAAATATTTATGATTGACTGAAAACTAGGGATGTGAATTAACATCGATTGGTAACTGCTTGGGTGACTACTGGTCTCCAGAAGATAGTCCTCCTGCATGTATAGAGAGGGGTTATGCACTGATAGACTCAGTGCTTATTGTCAACACTAAAATTGAATTCTATTTAATTTCATCCATTCATTCAGTTCATTGTTTGTTATAGCTGCTGGCGATAATGCTTTACTACACTTGATGAGAAGCACCTGCCTGCACTGTTCAGTTTACTGTTACTCTCCTACATGAAGAAAAACAGCAGGGACCTCTTGTGGGAAAACTTTAAAACAGCACGGTACACACTAGACCAGAGATTCTCAAATGTACTTAAACGTTAAGTGTGTAACATTTAGAAATGCAATACAATATGTAAACATGTGTTTTCTTTAGTGTGTAATCACCTGAAAATGAGATGGTCATGTTTTTGTTACATCAGAATGAGCGCTTTATATCCACAGAGATTACGTGTCGCCTTCCTTTGAGTCCGCCATATTGAACCGCCATGTTTCTACAGTAGCCCAGAAAGGACAAACCAAGCACTGGCTTTAAATAAGGCTGTTTGTTTATTCACACGTTTCACAGCCACTGTAGTTTCTATTTCGTGCTTGGAAGGGCAGGGTGAAGCGAGGGAGTTGCAATCTGCAACTAAACTGCTAGGTGCCACTAAATCATACACACTGGTCCTTTAATGTCAAGAATCACCACATAAATATGAGGTTATCCAAGAAGCCCGTCTGACAACCTTTATCCAAAGAGGCCAACATATTTATTGCCATAATAAAGCCAGGAATGCAAAGGAGAATATAACCTACTGCAGGCTGGATAATAAATGGATGAGGCCTACAGCAAGGTAGTCCTAATGTAATTCACTCACTGGACCACAACCGTTTGAGCTACATGTTAAATATGAAATATTATCCAAACAAACAGATCCTCATTTAGCTCACGGTCAGATTAACCTGCAAGGAGGCCGAGAGGCCAGAACTAATTTTAGGACCTGAATAACACCCCAGTCCTCCCACTATCTGTGGGCTATGTGCTTGTCACCCTCAAGTGCCCACAGCAGGCTACAAAGCACATCGTAATCATATTTGCCAAATAAGTAATCCTTTGCTAGAATATGAGCTAATACTATCTTGTTTTTATTTAGAAATATGCCCCATGTAAGCACAAAGTCAACAATACATAATACATGTATCAAAACTATATTTTATGACAGGATCCCTCTAAAATATAGGGCCTTATAGCTTTAAACAGTGAACCTTGTGGTCAGACAATTTCTGTCTTTATCCAGAACTGCTTTAAGACATCACTGCCAGGGTCAGGCCTTTGGGGGGGGTATCAGCAAACTAAACTAAACTAGCCCACTAAGCATATAAGCATTGTCTAAATGGTAAAATATAAAGATTAACCTAGTTTTACTTCGTTCAGCTAACCTCTCTAAAGTAAACTGCTAGTCTGTAGTTACTAAATAGCAAATAGGTTAGGGCATGTGTTTACATACGACAACTGGGAAATTTATGGCATTTCCTAACTAAGGTTATTTTTTGTCATTTGAAAGCTTTCACATGTGTCTCTCTCGACAGTGAAGACTAATATTTGCATAATTCTGTCTGTTAGCGAGTTAGCTTAAATTTAAGTCATGCTTACTAAATAAATAGGCATGAGTTTCTGCCCAAGACGACACGCTGAACGGGGACAACTCCCGCTGTCACACCGTGGAAACACTTCGCCGGTCCTTTTACCAGCAGATCTTTCAACAATAAAACATTATTACTCTGGAGACAGCCCACATAAAAATGTAGCTATGTGATATAAATCACTATATATTCGGTCACCTTTGTCAGTCCCCACTGTACCGTTTGGTGTCCAGACTGCAGACGATGACCAGTGAACTTTACAAGTGTCCGACTGGTAACGAGCCCTGCAGTCCCCAAGATGGCGCCCTAGTTAGACTTTCAGTGCTCAGGAAGTCCTTGAGCAGCCCTCAAGTGTTCCTTGGATACATAATACATATAAATGTTGTTTTTATGAGGCTTTTTTTCTTTGTTTTTTCTTAGTGCACACGCTCTAGACTGTTTCCGGTCACTTGCTGTGCTGTACACAGTATCACAGTGTTATTATCTGAGCTGCCACTGAAAGGTATTAAAGTGGCCCTGCAGACATTTGTGTAAAGCAAAATGTTTCTTTATCCATTGCCTGAGACTTTTTGTGATCAGTCACAGGGGACCACTTATACAGAAGTCTTTCTGTTTATACAGAAGTCTTTCTGTATAAGTAATAATTAGACGTGGGCCTATGGTTTACTGACTTGTGGTTTCTGAGGTTTTCCAAAGGTTAGAAACACATTATCGTCATGTAGCCATTAAGGGCATTTTAAAAGAGTAATTTTTTATTATTATTCTCCACAAACTATATATATTATATGCTTATGGTTCAAAATCAGATTAGTTGCTGAAATGAAAAAAATGCCAGAGAAACCCTAAAACAAATTACACTGTTACACCAGCAACTGAGAAGCCAATCAATGTTTTTCTAAACTTTAAACTTGTAAAAAAGACAACACAATATCATATAATATCATGTAATGTACACAGCGCCATTGGTTAAATACACATTAGATTTTATAAGTGGAGATGGTTTTTGTGCTTTATTGCATGTACTAGAGGTCGAGAAGTTGGGGGATGGGAATGGGCTTGGAGAAAAGAAAGGCATGCTGTTAGCTGTTTGCAGGTAAACCAATCTGAATACATTAATGATTATGGGGCTATCTCCTGTCCTTTCAAACTGTTATCTCCTGTCCTTTCAAAGTAGAGAGGCCAAGCAGGGAGGGGGGATGGGATAAAGAGTCTCACACTCACTGAGGGGGGAGGTCAGTTTGCCATGTTTTGTGGGGGAAGGGGCAAAAACAGAGGGCCACTGGGCCCCTCTTTGGGTCTCCATGGAATGTAATTGAGGCTCTGTCACTCAGGCAGACATACAAACAGACCAAAAACACACACAACAAAAAATGGCTTTTACTTTTGGTGATTTCATCATGTCATGAACCATTAAAAATCCTCTAGCATAGCTGCATAAAAAATGTTGCATAGATCTGAACTGAGCTATGTGTAACCATGTTTTGCATCAATATTGTGAATAATTGTAAGAATCTATATGTACTAGTTGTTTAACACTTCAGGGAGTGTCTAGTATCTAGCTCAGTCTATGTCTTGACAAGTTAAGCTAAGTCGGAGTACATTTTGTGAATTGGTAGAATAACAACAAAATGCTGTGACAGTGGTATTGAACTTCACTGCCTTCCCAGCAGCCAAACACACAAGGATATTTCTGTCCTGCACACACACACACACACACACACACACACACACACCCTTTAATTTTTACTTCCTCAAAGTTTTGATGCTGATTGCAGAGAGAGTTATGTTCAGACAGGAGAGAGAAAGTATGAAGCTAATTACCTAGGTCTGAACGCTTCCTCTTCTCTTCTTTACCGTCTTCACCCTTATCCCTCCATGTTTGACCCTCTCTCCTTCCACAGTAGTACAAATTCAACACTAGTGTGCCTGAGTGGTTGCTCCACACTCACTCCAATTGACGGGCCTATGACTGACACTGGACCCAGAATCTGCGAGGTATCAGGCTGCACATCTATCCATGTATGTGATGGTACTAGAAAGCCAAATCTGATGCAGTGGTTGAATTGTTGTGTTGAACAATATAGAGACCATAGAGCGTGAGTGTGAACTGATAATTGGCAATTATATGTATTCCTTCTTAATACAGGCTACATTACATATCATACTAGATCCCTAAAGTCCAGTAGAAACCATGTTTGAAAAAATGACCAGCTTTCTACACTATGCTTCAATATAAGTCAGTCCTTATACAATGTGTACATGTTTCCTTTAAATAAATTCCAAATGCCCACTTGTGTTTTGTTGAATATTTAAAAAATAACCTCCAGTTATTTAGATTCTGTGAAAATATTTATTTGGAATTTGGTGTACAGTGAATACATAGAAATGTAATTCTCTATGGGTATGATAAGTCATTTGCATAAAGCTGCTTTTCTGCCAGCCTATAAATACATTTTTAAATCTCTCCCCTAATAATATCAGTGACTGCTGCTCACATCACCTATGGGTAGTGGTGTTCGTGTAGTTCGCTTGCAGAACGTGTCAACCAGTTTAATGCGGCTCGAAAAGGAAAGCGACTCCATTACCCAGAAGCCCCGTCGCTCTGCTACAAGCTGGCTCCCTCCGCTCTGGGAGTGTTTCGCATTTAAACAAACACGGTCCTGCCGAAGATGGCGGAGAGTTTGTAGAGGCGTAAAAGAAACTGCTCCACTCAATGAAAGCATCGAAGCCGGTGAGTTTTCCGCCTTTGGTTCATGTTTCCGTTAAAGCCAAGTTTTAAACTAACGCTCGTGTGTGTTTGAACGCGCAAATTTGCCTCAGAGGCAGTTGGTGTTGGTCCGCTTCCGAGCAGGCTGTGTGGTTTTTAAGCTACCGTGATACAATGAGCCACCTTACCACTGTCTATTTGTTATGGAATGTTTGTTATGATAGTATTGGCTCTGAAACTATAAATAATGTCATCATTTACGATAAGCCTGGTTTGGTATTGTGCCGTTATTATCGGTGTTTGTTGGTGTTTCCATTATCCGCTAGCTACAAAGTTTACGAGATACAGGCTCTCTGATTCGCTGGGGTGCAATAGGCTAGCTGTTAATACTGCATATGAGTGAACTCGTTTGTGTTTCAAAATGTTAATGTTAAACTATGCAGCACCACTAGGCTGTGTTCATTGTCCACAACACAGCCGGATAGCTTTGGACTCTGTATTTCCTTTGTAGACTGTGAGACTTGCTGTGCAGGAATTGTCTATGTCCACAGCTAACGTGAGTTACACCGCAGTAGTTGTCTGTGGCAGCACAGTGAAGATAAAATTATCTATTGCTCCTTTGTTACGGTTGTGTAGCCTCCACCATGAGTGTAAACACATTTTAAACACGGTGTAATGGACCTACATTTTGTTTTTGGAATAGTTTTTTTGACTGAGAAAATGCAACACAATCTAACAAATAACAACAAACTAATGTAACTGACTTTAAGTCATATGTTGTTATTATTATTATTATTATTAGAGAAACACATATTGCTTATTATTTTATTTTCTTGGTGGTTGTTAAATGTATGATGTTAACCAGCTGCAGGTCATGATTAACCTTATACTTACCAGTACAACACCCCCCCCCCCCACCACCACACACATACACACACACACACACCACTGCTGACAACGAAAACTATTAGCTCAGCGTAGCAGCTCTGGAGAATCTACAGCATCTGTTATTTATTTGCATGAGAGTAGTGATATTACGTATCCATGATTGTAATGGTTAGTATTATGGCCCATCACACTGTGATGAATGTTGGTTTTCATCACTGATAAGTCATATTTAGGTGTTTGAGAGAGAGAGAGAGAGAGAGAGACTAGTAGAGGGAGATAGATGCGTTTCAGTGCCGGGGAGGATGAACACTCCCAGGGTTCAGGTAGAGTCCAGGTTTGCGTTCTCCGTGCTCGACAAGGTGTATGCTGAGCACTCAGTTTTGGAGGTGGTAAGAGGACATTCCTAGAGAACATGCTCATGTGTAGGAAGACAATGAGGAGGTAAGTTAGTCATTCCACTGAAACGGTTGAGGTCTAGGTGTGCTGTCGCTCTCTTTGCCTGGGGCCATCCCTGCCAATACTTGCAGGTATTTACAGCTCACTGCTTATTTCCATGTGAGAGTTTCTGAAATCATCTCGGTATTTCTGTCATATTGCTACACGGTCTGGCAGGATTTTTCTTCTTGCTTATATGATTTCATGCAGGCCTCTCATTAAATAGGCTGCAATATCTCAGTACTGTGAGCAATTAAATGGCGTGTAGCTGGGAACGAACAAGTGAGAATGGTGCTGCTGGCAGCCTACAGTCATCAGATGAGCTAACTTGTCTTTATTTTGAGTCTGATGGAATGCCATTACTCAAGCCCACGTATGTGGTATTTTTGTAAGTGGTAGAATGACCACTGTGGGAACCTGTCCAATGAAATGCTTCTGCTCATATTCTTGGCAAATGGAGCCCCCTGTCCCCCATTCTCTGTCCCTTTATCTACCACTTTCTTTCTCCCTCACACAGGGTGTCGGGCTGCGTTAACAATGAATCAATCTTTGGGGGGATTCTTTGACTGCAGATGGGGTGAAGAAGTGACTGGGATGCATAGCTTTCGCTCTTTGTCTGCCGGCCCCTGTGCTCTCAATAATTCATTAACTTATCACTTTTTCTCATGGGACCGAGAGAAGTCTCTCTGTGGTGGCAGATTCTTTGGTTACATCAGATCCTCTGATTGATAATCAAAGGAGCATTTATTTAGCAGCATTGCTGATATTTAGTTAATACACAGAGGTTAATTTTAATGTTGTTGATGTATTTTTGCATCCTGTCGACAATACAATAAAAATATAAAATACATTTTCTGTGAAATAGTTAGCAAACAGACTCATTATACTAATAAATATGTGGGAGGAGGCAAAGCAGACAATATATTTGTATAAAATAGATTAAATTTGGTAGTTTGCATTTATTAAATGGCATCTGTGGCTACTCGGCGAGGTTGGGAAACGTTTGGATTTTGTGCATTAATTCCAGTAGGGATTTACCAATACCAGTATCGGGTCCAATACTGTGCTCCTGTACTCATAATTGCAATCATAAAACTACTACCACACCTGATACCACTTTATGACAACGTGACGTTGACCTGTTGTCAGTTGAGCAGGTAGGCGGAGAAGAAGCAATGTCAGCAGTTTGGAGATGTTTTAAGATAAACGATGACAAAAGTAGAGCAGGCTGCAGACTATGCTCTGCTAAATTGTCAAGAGGAGGGGTGAAGAGTTGCTCATTTAACACAAGTGAGAATAAAACATGTTTTCTGTGTCATTGTTAGATCTAGAATGGTATTATTAAGTATATTGTATGGGCCAGTACCCAAATGTAAGCACTTGTACGTGGGTCTGAATAAAAGTTGTATCTGTGCATCTCTAGATTCATTCCTCCTGTTGAGCTTTTGAACACTACCAAGATAAAACTTCAAACTTTTATGTTTTTAGGACAAATATTTCAAAACATCTGCTAGTACTATATACTTTCATTTTGCTACATGATCGCCTGGTTTAACTGTATTGTCTGAATATTTCTGCTATATGGTTCTAAACAGTGTGTGGTTTTAGAGAAAAGGAGGAGGACGTCTAGTTAATGTGCCAATTTTTGATAACGGTCTCTAATCTGTCTTTGTCAAGCTGCATTTTTGTATCACTGGTGTCTGAATAGATGGCATTCTTGTAGTGTCTCGTCACCCTGTGTGCCTAAAGAGAGACCAAGAGACAGAGATAATAAGTTTCATTTCGAGTAAGTGCCACTCGTTCATGTGGTATGTGTTCAATTTAAGATTAACAGCTGTGTGAGTGAGCAGTGGCTCTGTGAGGACTCTTGATGACACGCAGAGCTGAAAGGAAAGCCTGATTGTTTCCCCTAATTGTAATATGACTCCTGGGTCTTCGTACCTTTTTGTTAGGCAGCAGTACAGGTAGTGTAGGGTTAGTCAAGAAAAACAGCTGCTACCTCTGACTGATCACTTTTAACTAGTATTTGTAAGTCAGGGAAAGAGTACCGTGTATATTTTTCAGTATCTCTTCAGTGTTAATGGGACTTACTGTGACCTGTTCCTAAGTCAAGTTAGGGTGTTGTACAGGATTCTCTGTAGCTTTACTCTTACACCATTGAGACTTGTCCTTGTAGGCTGTTTTACAACTGAAGTTTAAGGATACAAAAGTTTCCTGTGGTCAGCTTCAAGCCGTGTAAAACGTCCTGTTTAGTCGCCACATCTCAAGGTCACTCATGCAGTGACAGCGATCCGTGTTAGTGTTTTGTTAATGTGCACATACTGGGCACTGGTGTGTTACTGTGGTAGTACTCAACAGGTAGGTTTGCTTTTTCTGCCTACACATGTAGAGCTAAATATAGAAAACTCTGCTCAACAAGACAGTCGTGTTTCCACTGCTAAAATATTTACAGCTACTTCGCCCCAAACAAGCGAGTTTGAGAATATGAGATGAGAGCTGCTGAAACCAGATTTTTATTCACTATCCAGACAGCTGAGTCCCAAGTCAAGCGGTGCAGTTTGCACTCTCGCTCTATTTGAAGTCGCATCTCATTCATCCCCTCGGTTCCCTCTTCCTCAACTCTGAGGTAATACCCAAGTGTTAGGCTAGCGGAGCCATATGTGAGCCATGCACACTTCTACAAGCCAAACGGGCAGCCTGAAGCAATCATTGCACCCAATTCCAGTTTATAACCAGCAAGGATTTGGAACAGTTCACTCTCTGTAGTCCTCGCTGATTGGACGAAGGCAGGAGTTTATTAGGGAAGGGGGTGCCAAGAGCTTTGTCCCCCCTCCCCTCCTTGCCCTTCCTCTTTAACTTCAACTCCCCCTTTAACTTTCGCTCCCCCAGCTGAAGAATGCTCGTAAAAAGGGTTCACCTGAACAAGCCAGTGGGAGGGTAGCTCCCTGGCCTAGTTTTGTTACCATTGTAAAATGTTAGCAAGACCTTGTTTGTGTTTTGTTTAGGGCCCCCTTTTATAAAAAGTGCTTTGGGGGAGAGACAGCAAGGGTGAAAAAAAGTTTGGTTTGTGAGATAACTGCTACCAGATGCTCTCCCTGTCTGTTATTCAGTGTAAAGAGAAGGAGAAAGAGAGGCTGGTAAAGAAGGGAAAAGAAAAGACACAGTGTCATTTCTGGATGAACTTCTCAACTTCTGCATGGACCCTCTCCATCTTCTCCCTATCTCTAAGTTTCTTGTCCCGCGTATACTCTGCCTTCAGCAAAACACAAGCATTGAAAAAGGTGTGATTGCAAAGGCAGAACAGTTAGTTTGCAACCTAAACAACAAGGAGTTTGTCGTCAACCACTGCAAACTGTGCAGATTCTGCGCCCCAAATTTTAACAAAGCTTACCGTTACTGCTCTCAACATCTCCTGTAATGTTATTTCATTTGTTTATATTTTGTTTTTCATTCCCTCTGTACATCTCCAAGATGAAAAAGTTTGATGTCGGACTTATGTGGCAGTGGGGTGGGGTTTCTGCATCTGTCTGGATTGAGAGGCAGTTACAGCTGGCATGGTGCTGCAGTTGCAAGATGTAACAGGATATTATGAACATGCAAATGGGGATTGTAATGGCACAGAGTGTCTATCTTATAGTTCACCTGAAATTGAAAAGGTCCTTTCATTAAAGAAATTAGGCATTTTGGATTTTCCGTAAGTG